ACAAACATTACCAAAAACAGTTTTGGTAAAAAGGGAGGGGGTATTGCTTGCTTTGTTAAGAATGGTTTAACGGCTTTTTCAAAAAGCTTTGATAATGATATTGAAAATCTATGACAACTGATGAAAATGATCATTCGAAAAAGCACTTGTGTATTATACAAACCACCATCAATGAATCAGGATACTTGTTTGTTGAATTTGAATTCCTTACTTCATGATGTATCTGAGATCAAAGAAAAAATCATGTTGTGGTGATCTTAATGTTGATATCTTGGTAAATTCATCTTTTTTAGTTGACGGTTTGAAGATGTTGAACGAAGAACCCACTAGAGAAACCCCATAGCTCATCATGTATCGATCATGTTTCTGCAAATATGCATCACGAGGTATCAACATTGAAATGCACTATCAGTGATCACTACGCCCTGCTGGTTATTACTGATCTAGAAAGGCATTTGGAAGCCAATACTCCTAGAAAATACCGAGATTTCAAATGTTTAATGAATGAGACTACGGCATATAAACTGCTTTTTCTACTCAATCATCGCTTATGAAAAGCTTTTGAAAACCTGGGTACTTTTTCTCTAGAAATAATTGCTAGAATATTAGATTTCTGTAACATTTATTGTCCTGACAAAACTGTCACACGGAACAGAAAATCGCAGTCCTGGGAAACTCTCGATTTGAAAAAACAATTTAGGAAACGAGATAAACTTCATTTGTTTCTAATTAACAATTCAACCGAAGAGAAAAAAAACTAACCAAAAAACTGTGTAAATTAGTCAATCGGTTTATGCCTAATACCAAGAGAAACTACTATGATAGAAAAAAAAACTTGCAAGGCGATGCAAAAAGTCTTTTCAACGCTTTTAAGCATTTTTTCGGATAAACTTTTTCGGTTGATAGTGACATTGTTGATGATTTCAACAACTTTTTTTGCGCAAGTCGGTCAAAGCCTTGTATAAGATATACCTTGTAATTTTACTTCTGTAGACGTAGAAGCAAAAGAAAAACCTTTTTTTATCCCATTGATGATTCAGAAGTTTCTATTGCTATAGAAAAACTGAAAAACAAAACGTCCGACGGTCATGATGACATCAATAATAGGATGGTCAAGTTTTGTGCAACAATAATATTGCCATTATTAATCTTTTTGCTTCAACCAATGCTTTATTGCTGGCGTTTTTCCAAACAGTTGTAAAATTGCAAAAGTACTACCATTTGATAAAACGGGAAAACAGACAGCCAAACAGTTTTCGACCCATAAGTTTGCTCAGTACTTTCAGCAAAATTTTGAAAAAATAATACACATTCGCATGATTCACTTTATATCAGAATACAGGCTTTTGGTGCCTGAACAGTTTGGGTTCCGGCGCAGATATTCTTGTGAGCATGCAATGACTTCTGCAATCGAAATAATTAGTCACTGCGTAGATTTAAAAAAAAATGGAATAGAGGGTTTTGTAGATCTTAAAAAGGCATTTGACACAATTGATCACTCCATTTTACTAACCAAATTAGATCTCTATGGGTTCCGCGGTATAACAAACACTTTTCTGCAGCCTGATTTAACCAATCGTAAACAGCATGTATCGTCTTGTGGAAAAACTCTAGATTAAAGAGTATTACATTGGGAGTTCCCCCAGGATCTGTCTTAGGTCTACTGCTGTTTTTACTCTATATTAACGACAGGCCTAAGAAAGTAACGAAAAGCTCAATTTGTCTGTTTGCTGATTATACAACGATTCTTACTTAGAGCAAAAATAATTCGATAGATAAAAATTTTAATCAGGACCTTAAATCGATTGAAAATTGGTGGACAAATAATAGACTAAACATCAATATTGATAAAAACGCAAGTATCCAAATTCGGAAGGAGATGAAAAGGATCTGAAAAATATTTGGGGAATCAGACACTTAATGTTGTGAACTACTTTGAGTATCTTGGGGTTGTGGTAGATAATAAGCTCTGTTTTAAGCAACACATAGATCATGTTTGTAAAAAGATAGCTAAATTTGATGGAATTCTTTATAAAGCAAGCAATGTTTTTTCTAGGACATTTCTTAGCTTTTATCAAGTTTATGCAAAACCTTCAATGTCATACGGCATCTTAGTTTATGAATGTGCGTCCAAGAAAAATTCTTTTAAAGCAAAAAAGAATTCTTAGGAGAAATTTTCTTCAGCACAAATTTGATCACATTACGGAAAAGTTTTCAGAATATAACACTGATACCGTTTTTGACTTGTTTCGAAACACTGTTTTTAAAAAAGTTATTTATCAAATACTTGGCAAATTGCCTTTAAAGTTTTTGGATTTTAATCAACTTCAAAATCTGTTAGATCTAACTGCTAATTACAATCGGTTAGCGTCAAAGTGCTCAAGTTTTACAATTTTTTTCGGCTAATAGTGTTTTTAGAGAACTTGAAAGATATGTCAAAATCTCAATTGAGCTCATATTTTCAAAACACTAAACGTCGTCACAGATAATTTTGAACTCCTTCACTTGATATTTGACAGATGATCTAACTCCTTTTTCGTTCTCCTCAAATTAATCTGTAAAAGTGTACCTTATGGGACGTATCCTCGAGGGGCCCTAGGGCCCGTCAGCTTGATCCCTATGAGTATCTTATGACTGATGCTTGTTAGTTATATGTGCTCACTAAATAATTCAAACTTAAATATCCAGTGCAGTTTACCCTCGTATTGACATTTTAAACGTCAGTATATTGACAAGTGTCAAAAAAATGCCAATTTCACTTTTTATATACTCGATTGCATACTTTGTCTGCTTTACATTGTTTGCCCCTTTTGTTGAAAAAAAAACATGAAAAAAGGATAGCCAGTTACTGTGCAAATAGCACAATGTTCCCACCGTAGTCTTGAAAAATCGTGTTTTTTTTTCTTTGAAGCCTGATAGTAAGATCTGAACACAAAAAGAAAATTAGATTTATCTGACAAACAGAGTCGAATAGGAAGATAAGAAAACAGTTTCTGCAGAAAATTGTCTAGAAAAACAAAACAAATGAAAAGAATTTAGGAAGTGATCTACTTTTTTACAGATTTTTTTTTGAATTTTTTTATTCCAAAAATGGCACTAAAAAATTCAAAAGGTAACTTTAATCGAGTAAGCATAATTTGGCTAATGCAATCCTGCAAAATTTATTTTGACAAATCTTTTTAGATCGAAATTAGACCAAAAATCAAAAAATTTCAACTGGTTTTTCTCGACAAGGTAAAAATTTTGTGATAAAAGTTAAGGTCGTTCGAATCACGACTGAAAGAGCTTTGGTATGATATATCACTCGACCAACTCCAATTGCTTTTGTAGAACCTGATTTTGCGTAAAAAACTAAACACTGAGGCAAAGCTGTGCTTTGTAAACACTAGCAACGAAAATGCAAAAAGGAGCTCTAAACAGGCAAAACAAAGTTTAAAAAAAATCAATTCCTTGGAAAAAAATTATGAGATTAAGAATATCACGTTCCGGCATCTTCTCCACGACCGCTGGTAATTTTACTAACACTAGCCTCCAATAAAGCAGCTACATTTTCTCTCTAAGTGCCAATGATACGCAGCAAACTCGACTAAAAAAAATTATTTCAGTGTTCCGGATTTGAATATCCGACTTGTTGATTGAGAGGCTCACGTCCTTGCATCTGCGCCACGGTCGCTTAAAGTAAACTAGTGGCCCAGCTGATGATAGCGAAATGTGTAGTTCTCAAAGTTTCAATAAATAGTGATTTCTCTGCTCAAATAGGGGACTAGCCGCTTATTTTAAGGAGAAAACTACTACTCGCTCTTTCAATTGAAATCTTTGAAGCAGATTTGCTTGCACCGTTTTCAAAAACCTGAAATTGACTCTTCCTAAATTCAGAAAACTTTCTCTTCTAAAGGCAGAGGAAGAATTTTGTACAGGAAAGCCGTCCATCACCTGATTCTGTAGTTTGAACCCTTGATAACAGATTCAGCTAGTTTTCGAGAAAAGTGATTAATTCAAAAAAGAGGTTTTGCCGAAGTCCATATCAGCTTTTTAACAAATAAATAGATTGAAACAGATTGCGCAGGGAAAATCAAATGTTAGTTTTAATGAACTATCCACCTCAGAATCATCAGGTTACTTTTTGAAAATCTTGGACATTATCTAAGGCTATATTTTTTCTCAAAATGCAGGACAAAGCCGCTTGCGCAGGAGAGATTCGCATAATCTGTTTTTCTTTCGCTTAAACTCATAATCTCCAATTTGCCAGGGTAGTTTTTGAGAAAATTCAAGTTTAAAAACAATTAACAGAATGTCCAAAAATGGGCTTGTATCAGGCCATACCTTTGTTCCAACGGACTTAAGGAATAGTCGCTTGAGAAGGCGAGATCCCTTTAATTGGTTCTTTTGATTGAAACCCTAATCTCATATGCATTTAATATTTGGGAAAATGAAAAAATTCAAAAAACAAACAGGTCAAAAATCACTTTACTGAGTTTCGAATGCCGTCGAAAGTGGGGTAAAATGAAAAGGGACTAGTGAGAAATATGTAAGCACATAAAAAAGCAGCCGGTGTTTCCATTGATATTTTTAATGAAAATTGGAAGAGTAGTTTTTTCTGAGAAAAATTGAAATTTCTGCGAAAAGTTCAAAAAATTTTCTAAGCGTCGCAAAAAAACAAAACCGATACATTTTTATAATACCTGTCACACAATAACACAATAACTGACACTAGCTAAAAATAAAGCAGCAACATATACTTTTAAATTTTTATGCTTAAATAGGCTTGGAATTGAAATATACCAAAAATGCCACCAATTAGCTAAAAAAATTCTTCGTAATAATACACTATGCTTCGAATGAGTAAACACACCCAAATACAAAGTTCCCGCATTTTTCAAATGATGAAACAAAAACTTCATTTTAAATGGCAGTTTGGCTTAGCAGTTACGAGTTTCAGAACTCTTGTTTAAGCGGATCGTTCAATCTTACAATTTAGACAATATTTTAATTGAAAACAATAACACCCAAACTTGAACTCAATAAACGAATCAATAAGCTGCCGAAAACAGTGTCTAATTTCCAAAGCTTGCAATTAACTCAGATATTAGTCTAAAACGGTGTCTCAGTAATTTGCTGTTTGGGATTGTGTTAGTTGACGCAGTCTACTTGGCATTCGAGTTGGGCCCTCTTTTCTTTCCGGGTCCGACGACAACGTTGATGAACCTCTTGGTGTACTGCTGTCGCCTTTTGGCTCTTCCCGAGAGCTTCTTTCTCTTGTCTTCGCTCTTCTCAACCTAAACAACCAACGAAAATTTCTTTGCTCTTTAAGACTCAAAACTTTTCTTTCGTTATTTCTGCTAACCTTTGGTGTTTGGTTTCGAACTTTTCCAGCACGAGCCAAAGATCCGTGTACCTTTCCTGAAAAAAAAATTGACTGCTTGAATTGAATCGTTCCAAAGTACACCAAAACATCATCAATATTTCAAAATGGGTAGACTAATTATAAGTGAAAGAATTATATCTTTTGTGATGGCTTTGTTTGATATCATCAAAAATATGCACATTAGTTTGACGCTGTTATTGATCAATTCCATATACCTCCAGGAAGTCTGGCAAGCAGTTCCACAGTGCAGTTCTCGCTCAACTGATCTGCACTCTCTAGTGGGACTCCTCCAATTGAGAGGTAGTTAGTCTGCTCATCCAGACCCACTGCCATGTTCACAGCAGCCACGGAAAAGTCAGTGACCTCGGTCACCTGGTTGGAGCCATCGAGTTGTCGCACGAAAATCTGCATCTTCAAATGAAGTCAAAAAGCGATCTGAAAATGTTTCATTTATTTCATTTTTAGAGTACTTCCTCATTAATTGTCATCAAAATTTTAGAAACTGATTTCGAACAGCCTAATAAATTGTACTCTTTCCACACGCTTCTCCACTATATGTCCACAATCATCTCATATTTAAAAAGAAACCGAGCTGAAATGTTAATTCAACCTCAAAAACTACGGAATACGTCACATCAATTTAAGACTATTAAAGAATTGACCATTCCACAAATTCTCGGTTGCATGTGTCGAACAACAGTTTCACTCGGCTTGCACTGTTCTCATCTTGTCTCGTGTCGTTGTCTATGACTTTCCGATGTGTTCGTTCACGACAGAGAGGGCCTCCGACTCCTCTCCGAAGTCGATAATGACGGCGCAAGAACATTTGACCACCTTCCTGGCGTTTCCTGTCTCGTCGTACTTGCACTGGCCAACCCACTGGCCTAGGGTCATGTTACTGTCTACCTGCAAAAGGTAAGATGGAATAATCTACAGTCATGGCTCAACTGAACCATTGTAGGAGCACACATTTAAAATGCAGTTCAAATCCATGAATACCTGATTATAACTAAATAACTGACTCTTGCATCTTTTAAACTATTTTGTCCACTATTAGATCAAAAGAGAGCAATAATTAATGCAAAAAGCGGCTAAAAAATAGCTCCAAAATTTGAATCAAAAATCGGTTTTAATCAGACTAGAAAGCTTGCTAAGACTATTTCTCTGCATACATTGTATAACGATACGATGATTTATACGATGACGATACGTATAGTTTTAGCCATGATGTAATCAAAATTGATGCCATCAGGCTTAAAAATAACTTTTTGCATTTGCTAGTTCAATTAATAATCTTCTCAGTAAATTTAAATAAAACAAGAGGACGAATGAACTATCACTAGCAAGTGTAATGAATTATTATTATTTATACGATGATGATACGTATTGTTTTAACCATGATAGAATCGAACTTATGTCATCAGGCTTAAAAATAACTTTCTGCAACTCAATCAAAAATCTTCATAATAATAACTGCATGTTACTTAATCAAATAGAAAGTTTACCATTATGACAGTTTTCATAGCATTACAACGTTGAACAAAGCATTATGAGGTTGAATTAGGTTTCGAAATTCAAATGGGGGGGTGGAAAAGAGCCAAGGAAAATATATAACACTTTCATTCGGTGAAAACATGAAAACACTAGCTGCACAGATCTTTATAGGAAGGCTTCTGATTGATTATCGACATCACTTGTGACAGTTTTTAGTTCCACTAGGAGAGAGTTAAATACAATCACCTCAAAGATCTAATCTATCGGAAATACCTGTCCAATTAGATTACGCTAAATAGTTTGGATGTTTTAGCTGTCATGTGACCGACAGACAGGTCAAGAATTGGCGGTTAAACATTACGGGTTGTTAACATAGTTGATATATCGCATCCTGGTAAAAAAATAATTCTAGCATTAAGAATCCTATGAAATGAAATGATGCCCGTTTGACGAACTTTTGATCTGAGTTAAATCGGGAAGTTGTGTAAAATCGAACAAATCTGGGGAGCGGTGGTGAAGTGGTTACGTCTCCGCCTCTCTATCGAAAGGTCGGATGTTCGAGGCCCACCATGATCCGTGCTCGTTGCTTGAGGGTGAAGCAACATTACCCAGCCCAGAAAAATAACCAAAAAATTAGCAATCCACCGCTTCTTGGCCAACGCTTTTTGCACTAAATCTCAAATAAATACCAGACTGCAATGAACGTGCTTCAATGTCTACTCGGAACGGGTTCAGTTGAGATTTTAGTATGGATTTTACCTTGAGGAGGGGAATTGAATGGAGAGTGCAGAGTGCCTCTACCAGTCTGGAATACTGTGGCTCATCGCAGTCTTTGGCCAGGATGCACATGTGGGCAGCCCTCTTGTCCAGGTACTTCACCACCTCCCTCAGGCCCTTCTTCACTCCATTCTGGTACTTGGCTTTCTTAAGCACCTGAGGCAGCGCTTCTTCCAAGGTCATTGCGGAGGCCATATTTGAATGTCACACAAGATCTGAAAGCGCAAAACAACAATTGTTCACTTGATAACTAACTCTGCTAGAAAAATTTAGTTTACATAAAAGTTTTATGTGGCTGAAAAATATCTTTGAGCAACAACAGGGAATCTTCAGAAGCAATTTTTCTTAAGACCAAGTGCCAATATTAGCTATCGCAATTATCTGCTTTGTGATTCTCAATGCCACGTCGAGAATGGGTATTTTGTTCACCACAGAAAGGTACTTGAAATCCGGCGTTTTTTCCACCCTTAATCACGCAACCATTCACAATATTTGTGAAAAGTACAGTGAGGTATTGTTCTGAATCTAATTCAGCCAAAATTTGAACTTGAAAAATCTTTTGTAATTGACACTTTCAAAAAACTAATCCAATAAAAAAACTGTCAAAATGTGGCAAATTTTTTCAAACTTTGCTTGGAATTCGGAAAATTAAACTCCCTTTTAGAAACGATTTCTTTTTTTTTGCGCGATTTCACTGTTTTATTGGAGAGCATAATTTGTCTTCCCTTTAGTAAATTAAAATGATTTTAAATTTAAAACAAATCAAGTCAAACCACGAAAAATCATTTTTGAGCGTGAAAAACTTCTAAGGCAAGGCCTTTTGCTAGAAAAACACGACCTGAATACGTGATCAATCACTTCGTTCATAAAACCGTAATCGGATAGAAAGATAAAACGCTGCAAAACGCTGAATTTTACATGAATATACACATTTTGCGTCAATTTTGTACAATAAATTTACATAATTTAGTCAAATTTAACATGAGCAATGTAGGTTAATTATATACGCTAGAACAGAAGCGGATTTAGGAAGTGGGAGGGGGGCTCAGGGATTTGAACCCCTGTAGACCCAAAGTTTCCCCCTTAGTATTTTTTGAGATATCCATTTTTGGCTGACGGACATAAAAACTTTTTCTTAAGGGGCCAATTTTTACTAACTTTGAGGGGGAAGATCGCGCCGAAAAAAAACGGGATATTTTAGTCAAAATTTCAAAAAAGTGCCTAAAAACGCCTTTTTTGGCCTATTTTTTTCAAAATTCTGCCTACGGTGTAGAAAATTTGGCCAAAACGGTCTTCTTAGTGTTTTAAGAGAGTTCGGAAAATCAATTTGGTCAACCTAAAAAAAGGTAAGAAAAATTTTCGACAATTTCTTTAAAATCCTAGATCCGCTCCAATGCTAGAAGCTAGTACACTTAAAGACGCCATTCTATTTTTCACAAAATCAAGCTGTTGCGTTACTTGTAGCAGCTGTAGCTGCTGCGTTTGTCTTCTTCGCTATTGGTGTGGGAACGGGTAATCCCAACAAGACACTGATTTCATTTCTCGTTTCCCTCGCTTTTTTCGTGTCTTCGCTCCCCCATTCGAAATCCGAGAGTAAGGTCTGAATTCTCTCCTGGTCCTCATCAGATAATTCCATAGTCAGTTCTGGACAAATCAGAATGTTTTCGAACAACTGACTGGCCGCATGTTTTCGCAGTCTCGGATATTGGTGTCCCAAAAACACTAAAAGTTTTTTCAGGCAAGTTCTATGAATTTTTGAGTTCGAAGACAGCAACAGTGCTGAAAAGAGGTTCACTAGGAACACTAGTTTGTAGTAAGCAGGACAGTTTCTCGTCTCAGCGTCGAGATACGACACTAGCCTTTCGCCGAAATCAGAATCTTCCGCGTGCACGGCGTCGAAGATTCCGGACTGAAGCAGCAATGCAGTTCCTTCCAAGAAAGGGGTTATGATTCGATCGTTGCCACGATTATCTTCAAACACCTGCAGATACGCGTTCAGGAACAGGGAACACTTTTCGGGATCATTTGAAATCATTTGAGCATAAGAGTTAAAAGCAGCAAGCGTTTCACGACAAAAACTTTCAGTCAGACCTCCTATGCACGAAGTAAGACCAATTAGGATATGGTACGTATAAGTGTTTAAATGCAACATGGGGTATACGAATCGTAGCATTTTGATCGAGCAGTAGTTTTCTCGCTCTTCTTCAGGCAAAGAAGCAAACTCTCCAACAATTTCTTCCAACTTCGAGCCTTCTTTGAAGTGGAGCAATAATTTGTGACTGTACAGAACTGTCAAGCAAGAGAGGCATTGCTCTCTGACCGAATCAATTCGGGACGATATTTGGGTCATTACAAGGCACAAACATTTGTTGATCTTTTCACTCGGAAGGAATTGCTGGCAGTCACTTTTCGCAACTGCGACTAAGCAAGATGCGAAATTGAGCATTGCAGCTTCTCGAGTTTTAGCTCCTATATTTCCACGTTCATTGACGCTGTAATCTTGCATTCCGAAATATATTGCGTCAAAAATGGTTTGAAGCATTTGTTCAACGCAAGGGTCTTTTGATTCACATTTCAACGTAAACAGGTACGTTAAAGAATTGAGAGCATTAACCCGTGCTGCCGCATAGACTGAGGTGGCCAGCGTAGTCTCGATCAATTTCAGGAAATTACTAATTACTGTTGCCAAATAATCTGGTGTGAAAACACAGTTCGGCAAATGTCCAGCAAGCAACGTAAATCCAGCCCTCTCAGAACCGTCGTTACATTCCAAACCTTCCAGCAGTAGTTTAGATATTTCTGACTTACAAGCTGGGAATCTCGAGACAAATTGCAACATTGCATTTGCGCCTGCAGATTGAACTTCTTCCTTTTTGTGTTTGACACAAGATATCAAAAAATTTAATAATGTTGATTGCAAGTCTTGATTCTCACTGTCAAAAAAATTAGTTTCACATACTTTTGAAATGAATCCGCATACGACAGGTTTGATTGTTTCGCCTCCGAGGCCTTTCAAAAAGTTGTTTTTCTCTAAAGTTGGAATCAAGCCGTTCATTTTTGCACGCAAACCATCGCTGACAATTTCCTTTGCCGAAAATCCCAATGAGTATAAGCTAAGTAAAACGCTTGCTGTGGATTTGATGGATCCATAGCGGAAATGCAATTCATTTCTCGTCATGTTTTTGACCAATGTTGGAAAAATTGAGTCCAGTATATACTTCGAATTTACAGAACAAAGTCCAGCAAGGGCGTCCGCTGCCAGAATGCGGATCCCTTCGTCCCAATGATTGACTCTTTTCTGCGCTACGTGATCAATAATACTCCTCTCGTAATTGCTGAATTTCGCAATTTCTACTGACAGTTTAACATAGCAATCTGATCTTCGTCCTACTGAATTATAATCAGCCAGGGTGAGAATCTCAATTCCGTAAGGTAGTTTACCATGTCTGCCGACGTTTTCTTGAAATGCTGCCGATGCTGCTCGCCGACAATTTACCTCTCTATCGAACAGAATGACCAGAACCAAGTCGGAAGCAATCTTTTCGACAAACGGCAACATAACCGACTTGCTAAAAGTTCTCGGCAACGCCCATGCTACGAAACAAGCAGCATCTCTGACTCCAGATCCAACACTAAGGAACCCTCGCTGCACTTCGTATTGCAGGCTTTTGCCAACAACTGGAACTAACTCGGGAAGTCGCTCAGGTAAAATCAATCCTCGGCGTGCCAGCTCGGCCAAGGCGAGACAACTGCCGTTCCAAGTGTGCTCGCTTTCGTTGTTGTCAAAATTTCCTAAAACGGTGTCTATGATGTCATTGGCGAGATCCAGAGGCAATCTAAAAACAATAAACAATCTTACAAGATAAGCTAAATTTCCATTAATGTTGGAAATACAAGAGTCAGTTTACTCTAAGATTCTAAATTATGTTGTTAAAAATTGGTAACGATTATGTCTCAAAATATATTTCGGCAGCTAAATATTTCGCTTAGGATGCAAAATTTAATTGAATTTTCAATTTTAACCGTGCAGTTATTCTTCCGATACTTTTTGCCGCACTCCATCTCACAGTAGTATCGGGATCCCTCAGAAACGCACTCAGCAGATCATTTAGAACCATCTCAACTTCATCAGCGATCTCCTCGTCACAATCAACATCCACTTCTTCGCTGGTCGTAGACTCCTCGCTATTCGGAACCACGTGATCACCCGAGCCATCCTTTTCTATTTTGTTTTCTAAACTACCACTACTTATCCCACCAGATACTGTTCCAGGTGTCAAAGAATTGACGTTGAGTGACCTCGCTCCCTTTTTGTATCTCCACGTGACAACTTTTGTCTTCATGTGAACCAGTCCTAATCTGTGAAACAATTTGCAGCATCCTTTTCTGTATAGAACATTTTTGTCATTGTGGAGATCCAAATCTTTGATGTTATGGTATAATAAGGAAGCAAATCCTACAAGTTCGTCGCGTTTGCCGTGTTTAAAAATCAATGACAAACAACGCAAAACACTTATGACCAGAAAAGTATTAGCATAAGTAGTAGTTTCAATTTCATTTTTCAGCCGGATCACTGATTGGTCCAAAAATTCTCCCAGATACTTTTTTACAATATCAGGACGGGTAGTGAATTTGGACAAGAAAAAGGCAGCTGCATCTCTTGTGGCGTCTGAAACTGCTAAATATTTGTATCCAACATCTAAGAGTTGTTTCGAAATTGATGACCCTGTACCATCAAACCTCGACATTTCGAACGGTATCAAAACTATGACTGACAACCAAATGAAAAGCATATATCTTGATTCCCAATTTTCCATGTCTTTCTCGTCTTGTTCCAGCAAAATTTCTAACGCAATAGGCAAATCTGCAACTTCATGGGGCAGTAATCTAAGCACATTTTTGTAGCCCCTAGTTTTGGTCAAATAGTACATGAAACGAAACGCGTGATGTCTCGAAACTGCGGGCAAATTTCGGTTAACGCCAACATCTAAGAGACTTTTGAAGAATTGTGGAAGCGTTCTGTCTAGTAAATGTGGTTGTTCTTGGTAGTAATCTACAATTGTGACAAATCTTTGGACCAGGTTTTCCAAAACAGTCGCATTTGTCTCTCCTTTACACAGGGTAGCAATCATGTGGTTTACTTCATCTACTTCCATGAAAGCTTCTAAGGCACAGCCCAACCCAATTGGGTTGTCGAGATCAATTTGCACAGTCATAGATAATCTGAAAAAATCAGGACACTCACAAATGTCGAAATGAAAATACGTAGGAAATCAATATCGAACGGAGCGGTGAAAATGCCACAGCACCATAATTTTTTGCAGTCAGACGAATTGCACTTCGCATTCAAAGCAACAAAGAGCAATAGATATAGCTTTAGGTTATTATAAAAAATATGTTTTGAAAGGAACACTGAGATACACGGTGATTCGAGTCCAATCTACCGGGTGAAAAGTAAGCGGATCCTAGGTTAAGCAACGAACATTTTTAGGCAAGCGGCAAATATGTTGATTAAAAAAACTGCGAAGTTAAATGAACATAAATGCGCGCATTATGTTACTAAAACTAGCAACGTACTAAAACACAAGCACTTCTCATTTCTCAAAATATAACACTTATGCCATGTTTATAAAGATTTTGAACGAAAAATTGTTGGTTAAATTTCATCATAAAAACAGATCTTGGGCTGCAATCATTTCATAGACGTTAAGCAAACAAGCCCAAAGCTAAGACAAGGAGATCTGGTTGCTGCGTGAATCTGGTGGAAGCCAAAACAAAATATGATTGTTCCGACCATATTTTTAAATTTCTTTGAACTTTTAAAATCTTTATGTCAAATACGTTACGCGCTGAAAGAAACACCCAAAACTTCTTGATAGCCTAAAATTTTAACAAAAATAGTTGTTTTAACTTCCATATAACGAACGTTAATCAATTGCGTTTTCTGGTCGAAATTGAATTCAAAATCAAAAATTTTGAATATTTTCTCGACACTGAAATCTTCGCGTGAAAACAAAAAAAAAGAAAAAAACTAACATACCCGAATACAAAGTTCCTCTCCATTTTCAATGGTCGGAACAAAAAAAAAACTGAACACCCAAATACAAAGCTCCTCCGCATTTTTCAAATGGTCGGGACAACAATAACATGACATGCAAGAAAACAGAAAATATAATTGATTTTTAGACAATTCGACTCTATCCATTTCCACTTTTTTGCTAAATGAACTTACAAATATCACAACATGTTCCGACCATAATAATCAATGGAAAAAGCTGTATTGAAAGTTGACTTCAGGACCTGGGTGTAAATAGCTAACTAAATGTATAAATGACGTTGTCAATTGGCGTGAGTAGCTCTCGAAACAGCGAAACAGTTTAAAGCTCTCAAAACGGCAGAGAGATTTAGAAAGATGATTTCAAAAATATAAGCTTTATAAAGAACACGGAAAGCCTGTGATTCGAGCCCAGTCTTCCAGCTCACGGTCCCACTATGTAAAATGTGGCTCGCCCTCTTGAGTAATCACAGTCTATTCATTCAAAGCCAAGGTTTAAATAGCTAACACAATGTACATAAACACAAAACGGAGTTTCTCACTACTACTACGATACCAAACAAACAAAGCATGGCAAGCTAGCTGACAAAAATGAGATGAGAGAAGTTTAAAAAACGTCGAAAAAGACTAGCACGTATTTCGTTCGTTTGTCTCGATTTGTATATGTTCATTTCGAGGATAACATGCCAAATGAAGACAATGAATTAGTTTCGAATCAAAACTTATGCAGCGGTAACTAAGCCGACAAAATCGTGGCAAGCACCAGTTGGGCCAGATAAAACGACATCATTAAAAAATGTTGGGCTTCAAACATTTCTGCAACTCGAAAAAGTAAGTCGAAACACAAGTTTCTGCAAAAACTGATTTCACCACATCGAATGACCCAATGTGTCGTCGAAGCCAATTTATTATAAGCGGAACCTTTTACACCCAATGAAGCAAAATAGGAAACCGAATAGGATACAAACCAAATTGGCGTCAGTAAATTTCCAGCACCATTAAAAACATATTTCGATACAAGAGCGAAGCGGAGCTTCGCACCACTTCCGAAACGTCAAAAAAATGGCTAGGAAAAAAATCATTTTTTAAAATTTGTCTCGAAGTGGTTCACTTTTAAAAAAGATACTGAGAAATACAATTGCCAGTGTGAAATAAATAATGAAAAACACCATTCATCAAACGGTACTTGAGCGGACAACACTTGGGTAGACGAAAAATTACTCAAAAATGCTGTAAAAACTTTTGAGCTATAAAAATCTTGAACTCCTGTTTATCACACTCCTGTTTGTCAAGAGCACAAATGCAAAAAAAAATATTTTTGGCCTTCGAACGACAAATTTGGAGGTAAATAAACAGATAAATTACCATATAAACTATTTAAGCCAAAGAACTAAAACAATCAGCGAAAAAACAAGAAAATTAGAGTTGTTTTGAAAGAAAGAAGAAAAACTCAATTGATATGGCCATTTCAAATGAATACATGCTCAAAAACCCGTTTGCGGGCATTCCATTAGAAAAGATATGCCAAAAACAAACATACCAAAAAATTCATATTCCGATTTGATAACGGTTGCTAATATGAAGCATGTAAAACAACTGAAACTAAGCCAAGAATTGACTAAAAGCTCATAAGGCCAAAAAAACAATCAAGCCAAAAAGTTCATATTCCGATTTGATAACGTTTGCTAATAGGAAGCGTATAAAACAATTGAAATTAGGCCAAGAATTGACACAAAGCTCATATGGCCAAAAAGATACTTAAAAAAACTATTTATGCATATCGAGGCGAAGCTGAGCTTCGCACCACTTGCAATGAAAAACAAAAAAGTCGAAAATAATTTTTTAACCCTAGTTCTATCAAGCCAAGACAATAGAATGTGAAATTAGCATCGGAAGATAATATACAAGCGGTAACCAAGTCGAAAATGCCTTTTCGGAAACCCTTTAAGCCAAAAAAACAAGCCCCCTGACCCTCAAAACACACAAACAGTCAAAAAACTTTATTTGCTCGTCAAATGAAACAATTTGGGACCACTAAGTCAATATAATATAGCCCGAATTCTACTATCCCCGAAAAAGAAAAATGAGAAAAAAAAGCCGAGAAAAATGAAAAAAAAAGCCGAGAAAAAGCCGAGAGTAATAAGAAGTTTTTAAGTCCCTCTCGCCCTCAAAACACAGACACGCACACACAAACTTTTTTCGCTCGTATAAAACAACTGAAACTAAGCCAAGAATTGACAGCCCAGAATAAGCAGATATAAAATCGACTGAAACCTATCAAGCCGAAAAAAAGCAAAAAACAAAAAAGCAGAAACTATCTTTTCTTTTACGACTTTTAACATTTTCTGCGTTCCAGAGGTGAGCATAACAAATATGTTTCCGTTGAAACGACTCGAAATTTGGTCACAAAGCCGATAAAAAATAGACCGAAATTATTGGCGCAGACTAAAGCTTTAAAGCGGAAAAAAAACAGAAAAAGGAAATCATAGGAAATCAAGTGTAGTAAGCTTGCAAACAGCAGAGGTAAAACAGAACATTAAAAGCAACTGTATTTGGCAACTTTATATGGTCATAAAAACAATATGGCAACTAAGCCGACAAGACATAAGCAGGCGACAATAAGCCGAAATTGTTTTCAAAACGTTATATTTCCCCTTTGAAAAAAAAACACTTCTTAACTCAGGCGTTTTCCGTCCCAGGCGCTTTAGTTACCACCAGACCAAGTATGCCGGAGATGCAAAGAAATTTGAATTCATTACGAACTGAACCTAAATTTACCACTTCTAATTTTAATCATTCTGAGAACAACGTTACATACGGTAAAAAATAGTATCCGATGGCAATACTCTTGCTGATCACAAGGGAAAAGACTTAACAAGGATAGCCGGTTGCTGAGCAAGCAGCACAGAACGTACTGACAATAGTCTTAAAAAATAACATATATTTTTCTCAAATTAGTGTCGTCTTTTTTGCATGGTGTGATGAAAGGATTTGAGAAAGGCTAGAATTTAGGCATATTCGACAATAACAGTAAAACAGGCAAATGGGGCATTAATTTTGTCAAAAAATGACTAAGAAAAACAAAAAAAAAATCATTTAAAATTTTCAAAAAAAGTTCAAAAACTTTTTTCAATTAAATTGCAGATACTTTTTTGTATCGTCCGAAGTTTTTATTCCAGGACCGCACTGAAAAAAGCTTAAAAAATGATTTTACTAGCGTAAAACTAAAAATTCATGGCCTATCTTTCTGTAAAAATTCTGATCGCTTGCTTTACTCTCTCGAAATTGCACTAAAACTCCAATTTCTCTCGACAATGGGGCAACTTTTTGAAACATTTTTGATGTCGTTCGAATTAAAGCATTAGGTCTGAAAGCACTTTAATATGATAAAATAGCCAACAAACAGTTGGAAAAGAGATAATGAACATCAGTAAGCAGAAAAAATTACTGACTTATTTTGTTGAAAAACTTCAAGTTTTGAACTTAAAAGAAAAAATAGATACCCTTTAAGCTCTTCCATGAAAGCTTCTAAGGCACAGCCCAACCCAATTGGGTTGTCGAGATCAATTTGCACAGTCATAGATAATCTGAAAAAATCAGGACACTCACAAATGTCGAAATGAAAATACGTAGGAAATCAATATCGAACGGAGCGGTGAAAATGCCACAGCACCATAATTTTTTGCAGTCAGACGAATTGCACTTCGCATTCAAAGCAACAAAGAGCAATAGATATAGCTTTAGGTTATTATAAAAAATATGTTTTGAAAGGAACACTGAGATACACGGTGATTCGAGTCCAATCTACCGGGTGAAAAGTAAGCGGATCCTAGGTTAAGCAACGAACATTTTTAGGCAAGCGGCAAATATGTTGATTAAAAAAACTGCGAAGTTAAATGAACATAAATGCGCGCATTATGTTACTAAAACTAGCAACGTACTAAAACACAAGCACTTCTCATTTCTCAAAATATAACACTTATGCCATGTTTATAAAGATTTTGAACGAAAAATTGTTGGTTAAATTTCATCATAAAAACAGATCTTGGGCTGCAATCATTTCATAGACGTTAAGCAAACAAGCCCAAAGCTAAGACAAGGAGATCTGGTTGCTGCGTGAATCTGGTGGAAGCCAAAACAAAATATGATTGTTCCGACCATATT